TACCTAAATATTTCCTTTTCTTAATTATCATGACATGGCCTCAAACGTTTTAGAACACTACACTTTTTTCCAGGTTTTTTTCCCAGTTTACTGTTGACCAAAATGTATTCTAAACTTTTGATTCATGAAAGTGTCCACCTTTGGCAGATATAACAGCTGAACACACTCGTGGGATTCTTTTTACAATAGAAACCAAATATTCTTCAGAAAGTTCTTCCCAAGCCTGTTGCAGAAGTTCCCATAAATGTGTGACACATTTCTTTTGACACATTTCTTGGCTTTCACTCTTCTGTCCAGTTCATCCCAAAACCAGTTCGATGGGGTTTAAGTCTGGTCACTGTGCTGGACACTCCATGTTTTCAAGCTCACCATCATGTTCTTTTTTTCCTGGGGTAGTTTTGGCAGAGCTTGGACTTGTGTTTTGTATCTTTTATCTTTTTTTTTTAACCTCTGGCTGTTCACTACTTACCATTGTACCATTTCAAACTCTCTTAAACTGCAAACTGAAAAATTTAAAAACTTTTGACCAGTAGTGTAGACTGTAATGAACATAGCTAATCCTCTAGCTGCCACAGTCCAAATAGAACGTGAACATGGGGGCACGTCTGGCTCCATCGACTCAGGCTCCAGTTGACATTACATTGAAAAACCGTTGCTCCTCTCTCTGTAACTGCTGCAGTGAGTCTCGTCATTTTGGTCTTAAAATTTTTGTTTAAACCTGCTTTACATGATCCTGGTGTTTTTACTTCACTACTTTTTAAAAATAAATTCCTACTGCTAATATGGACTCAACTCCAAATTTGCATCTATAACTGCAGCCTCAATGAGCTTCATTTGACTGGAGCCACATGTTATGGATGGTGTCTTTGTTCACTTCTTTATACAGTCTATTGTTAGGAACTAATTGAATGTTTTGCTGAGGATATGATTTATATGACTGTTAAATGAAATTAAACTTCCATAGTATCTAATAAAGACCTCTATTAAAGCGCTCAGATCATTTCAGATTCAACATGTAGTCGACGGTCAACACAATTTTAACTGCTCATAACTTTTTAAAACACAATTATCAGATGCATATTGTATTTTACTTTTTCACTTTCTTCAGTTGTATCTTTAAGTTGCACAAATCATTCTCCGGTCTGCTTTTCCAATCAAAGCAAAAACTAAAAACTGTCTGTTACCTATCCTTCATTTCAAAATACTGGACGTTGTGTGTAAGCTTACCCACTCAGAAATATTTCTACCTCTTTGATGCTATTCTCATTGACAACCTAAAACCATTTGACATCACCTCCTAATGTGGTGCCCAAAAAGTGACAACAACCCCCATCAACCATAAAAATCACCGAAAACATGTATTAATCCAATGAGTCGCAGTGACCCCAATGTGTTATGTTGATTTAACTCTCCCGACACGCAAGCTCTGGCATCTCAACCCAGCCTCCTGCCTCTTCCCACTGATTGTGTCCCGGGCAATTCATTCTCAAGAAAAGCCAGAGGAATGCATTCAGACATCGCACACACACAATCCTTCAATGAGCAAAATGAGCCTGATCCGGGGGCTTACAGTTGTATGTTCTGTGATTTGTTGGAGGGATTTGGAAAGCTTTAACATGTGCCTCTATACTGGCAGGACGTTACCATATTTGGGACATGCAACGCCACCTCTCTCTCTTTCTCTGCTGATATTGTGCGTGTGTGGCTATAGATTATCAACGATAGTAGCTCAGTTGGTAGTGTGTTTGACCACTGAAGGTTGGCAGTTCGAATCCCACTTCTGGCATAAACATCATAGGCTGAGTGGTCAGATCCACCGAATGATGAATGCTGTCATTCTGTCCTTAGGCAAGACACTTGACCTGCTTGTGTGTGAACGGGTGAGTGGTTCCTTGATGTAAAGCGCTTTGATTTATTCATCAGCCGGTTTCACTTTGTGGAAACCGTCTGATCTCACAGCATTAGGATTCATGCGCTCAATGGTAGGCAGGTACTTTTTTAATTTAACCAATCGCATTTGGTCAAGGTGTATGTAATGCGCCAAATCCCGTAGGAAGAAGGGCAATAACGTCTTTCCCCTTGATAAAATTCACCAAACATTCTTTGTTCTGGCTTTAAATCTTCGATCTCGGGAATCGTTGCCAACACACAATGTATTTCTTTGTCTACATCCATCTTGACAGCTTTGTTTACTGTTGTGCTGTACGACAAAAGGGACCCAGACAGGCGCTTGAGTTTGACGTCAGCTTTTCACTGATTGGCCAGGGCGTGGTCTACAACTTCAGGGGTTCTTGCAAACCGTCTTGTGCAGGCATGTCCAAACTATGGCCCGTGGGCAAAATGCCGCCCTCAGACAAATTTTTTTTGGCCTTCAGGCTTCCGGGTGAATTGGCCCAAATTACCTTGCATCAATTAAAAATGAACTTTTTACTGCAAGTTTTTTTTTTTTTTTCTTTTAAATCTACCTTGATAAACCTAATAATTGTTATTTAGTGTGTGGTTTTCAGATCTGGGTGTGAATAAAGACTGATGGCTCTAACGTGTTAAACATGCACATATTTCAATTATTCACTGTACTGAGCACCAGTCTATGGCAATTAATCAGCCCTCTTCTTCGCCTGTGTTTAGATATGTGGGCCTTGATGAAAAAAAGTTTGGACACCCTGATCTAGTGTATTCGATTCCTGAACTAGTTGCTGGAGAGAAATGAAATCATGCACTAGGTTGCGCCAGCCTGGCTAACTCTAAGTGCCTTGAAGGTGGAAAAGCGTTGTATAATGTAAGAGATAACATTTACCGTTTACCAATCAGCTACTACACTACAGGCATAACTCTCCTAGGACGTAATCTAGAGCTGAATACATTATATAGGGTCAACGTATTATACAGAGCAAATGGTGATAAAATGGGCAAATAGCTTTCTTGACGCAGAGGGATCACTTGGACTGCGAATGAGCACATATGTCATGTTAGAAGTCATGGTTGCACCTGATCATCGCTGGGGGAAACCACAAGCAGTTAGTCTTAGAGGTTTGGGCTGTCATAACTTTGCCTGGGAGCTGCAGGGTGTCCACTATTCCTCCTGCATTGTATAATAAATCATGTCTGGTATATCTCTGTTCTCATGATGTCTGAGGTCATTTGAAAGACCTCCTCCCAGGCCATGATGAAGACAACTGGGCTTTTAACACTCGCTCAAACAACTGTCCATTGAATGCAGTAAGGAGAGGTCCTGGAGAGCTGGCAGCTGCAGTCCTGTGCGTGGGCCTGATTGTGGCTCACTCCTCCAGAAGCTTTGGGTTTATGTTTCATCATGCGCCCGTCCACTGCACTCCATAAAACGCAAATAAACTTTTCACTGGCAATAGCATAATAATGACAGAGGCAGCTAATGAGCCAATTAAACAGCCATAAATACAAGTCAGGCCGCATGACTCGGAGAATTGCTTACATCAACTTTGAGTTCAGCTCCAGAAATGGCCTCAGAAAGAGAGGTGATTGCTTAACTTTCTGCAATTTTATGCATTTTAATTGGGGCTTTTGGATGATTTTCTGCAAGAAGAGTAGGATCATTTACCTCCAAGTTTGTACAATAAAACAAATGTCATGAGCCAATTTGTGATAGGTCTGAACTGCTGCCACCTGCTGCAGTGGACGTGATCTGAAAAAGCAGAGTGCACTTGAGGTATAAATTTTGTTTCTCTGGTCAAAGGTTGACCACAGACACAGATCTGCTTCCCTGTCATCCCTCCAGACCCCCCTTATCTCCTCCATCTCTGCCTCACATATTGCAGTGTCTCACAGAGGTTTGTGGGAGGCTGTTGAAATGAAGTCTGTGCCTGGTGTGCCTGCTGCAGTGGTGCACTACATGAGGTGTAGCTTTGGCAGGTCTCTGGGCTGTGGTTTGGGCGACTGCACAGAAGCAGCCTGGCAGCTCGTGCTCTGCTGCTCTTTCACACCAGCGGCCTCTTTGGGCCCACTCTCAGTGCTGTCCTCGGGCACAGTGATTCTATTGGTCATGCACACTCTTTGGTGTTATATTACATTTGCTTTTATTGAATTTGATTCAGTGAGGCTCAGTTCTATTCATGGCTAAGAGGGGTTTCAATAGATTGGTAAAGTTTCACTTCTTTCTCCAAAGACACTGAGCTGGTCTCACACTGCAGTAATGAATAAACATGTTCCATGTGTAAAAGAGGGAATCCCACCACATTAGGCCAACTGTACTGTTCTAGGTCCTGCCTTTGCTGCCTAGTGAAAGGGCTTTCATGCCAACGCCAAGTCGTATCAGGTTTAAATAAGAACACTGGCAGGGTGAAGTGTTAGTCGTATAAGTCTAGTACAGTTGTACAAATCAACATGTGGTCACGAACCACAATGGTAAAACATTAAATAATAGAAATAAAGTGTTGAAGGTGCAGAGTGCTGTGCAAAGTCTAACCTGCTGAGCCCGAGTGACTGGGGTTCAAAGGATTTATCTGAAGTACAAGAGGTACTGAACACCTGCATGTCATGTGTATCGTGTGAAGATATGAAGGAGTATTTTTAGTTACAAATCAAATTAATCTTTAAAGCAACAATAGATGAACATGTTAATATTATTATACGCATTATTCAAATGTTTATTTTTCCTATACAAATTGAGTCTTTGATGTATGAAAGAATGTACAATATTTGACAAATGTCTTAATTCTTTACACAATGGCCCTTTTAGGCTCTTAGAAGCAGTTTGACATGAACAATCTATCTTGTAGATGCACAAAGGCAGGTGAGAGGTGTGTCTTTACATTGACAGCTCTTTTGTGTCTGCTCGTGTAAAATGGTGTTAATGTTCTTTGAAGAAATGTCAGGCATGTGTAGGTATATGTTCCACAGAAGTGGCTGCAGTGTCTTGTCAGGCCGCCAGCGCTGCAGTCTGAGAAATAAAGCCGATCTCCAACACAGTGCCGCTTTGAAGTGACTCACTCTTTGAAGAATTGACACCCTTCTCCTTTTCACAGTGCCTGGAGCCCTGCAAGGAATCCTGGGACCTGAAGGAAAACCAGTGCCAGGATTTATGTGAGGTATGTCACTAGCACAAACACTCCACTCGGCCTCTTCATACTCAGTGGGAAAATTCAATAAGAGGAAACTTTTCTGAAGGGGGAAAGTGGGAATGACACTATGTTTAATGTAGTCAGCAAAGGAGCGAGTCATAAGCCCAAATGTAAACAACACAATCCCTGTTAGCTCACTGTGGCGACGACAGCTTGGACATTAAGGAAATCTGACAGATATTTTCCCACTTCTCCACCCTCAGCCGCTGTTTCCCAAGAAGCACTACGAATGTCTGACGAGCTGTGAGTTCCTGAAGTCGGTGGAGGGGGTGAAACAAGGCGACTGTCCTGCTCCTGAGAAGGCCAGTGGATTTGCAGCGGCCTGTGTGGAGAGCTGTGACCAGGATGCAGAGTGCTCCACTGTGAAGAAGTGCTGCTCCAACGGATGCGGCCACACCTGCCAGGTCCCCAAGAACCTTTACAAAGGTAATGCTAACACAATGATTTGTACCTACACCAAGCACATTACAGTTAACCCGGAATTTACACCAGGAGCATCAGCGACACGTAATGTAGGCAGAGCTGCATACGCACATACTTTTAAAAGCTTCAGTTTACACCTGTGACCAGCCTCTGTATATTCTCAAGTTTCAACACTTTTTACATTGCTTCTATACTCATTTTTGATTGGACAAATTATGTTGCCACTGACAACAAGAGAGACAATGCTTCACAACAATAAAAAGCCATATCTGTGGAGCTCACATTAATTAAGCCACTCACCATTTAACTGTGGTTGTCTGCATGACGTGCCTTTTCCTTCAGAAGTTGTTCTTGTAAAGTTGCTGTCTGATTCTGTTAAGTGTTTTATATTTAAGTAAACTTTCCATAGTCCATCACACTCATCACAAGCTTATTTGCTGTCTTGCCCATGCTAAAGAGCCTGGAGACACTGTTGAAAAATGAGAACTCCAACCTAATTTGAGCTGCGCGTAGAGTAATGGCGGCTGTTGGACGCACGTATGACACTGCTGGTGTAAATTGTCCGACCGGTTAAAATGGAAAGCGATACCTTTTAGTGATATATTTGTCTGGGGAAATTTGGGAATTTTTTAGCCTTCTGACGCAACTCAAAATGTTAGGGCAACTGATCACTTACTTAATTATGTCTGGTAGGGGTCAAGGGGTCACAAGACACAAGTCACTCGATTTTATGCCAGTTCCATGCATTCGGAGACAGAGGTAGGAGGGTATCCAGTGTAAGACTTAAATCAGTGCTCAAATCTATGCCTGTTGGAAGGTAAAAGATTTTTAGTAACTAATATTAATTTTTAAAAATTTTACTTTTAGTAGATACAAGATGACACATATAAAGCATGTATATAACTTATTTTATTATACTCTTATTATTTATTAAACAGCATACACCAACTATGCTGTGTAAAAGTTCTTAAGTAAAGTATTTCATAATTTTGCAGAAACCCTGCCATGGCATGTACAGTATTTTGTGATTCGTATCATGTTGCCATGTTCCTGCCAATGCACAGCCCTAATGACTTACATGTGGAATGTGTAATCCCATATACTGTTGCTGTTTACATAATTATCTTAAACAAAAGTGATGGTGAATAATTGCTTCATGACAAACATTAATTACAAAAGCCAGTGACATAAATCACACATCATGATCAGAGCTGAATTTGACAGCTTTTTCAGCGTCATAAATCATTCATGCCTCTTTGTGTTGAGCCTCAGCCCACACAGTCCTCACTTCGCCTTGGTGTTAATTGGAATCCTGCATTCTGCTGGATAAGCTTCAGGGATTCATAGACACAGATGCAGAGCAAAGAGTCTCCAATGCAGTAAAACAGTTTAATGGCAATGCCCTGAGCGACCTGCTGTACTCTCTCGTCTTTGCAATAAGCCAAAGGAGAAGCGCGAGCCTCTGAACTTGAAGACTGGAAGTACATTATACACACATTTCAGCACGCTATTGTCGGCAGCCCCAAGCCATAACAAAGCTGGGAGATGTTGAAGTGAAAGCAGTGGAGAATTAGCTCAAATCAGGCCTGTAACCGCAGCTCTCATACACTGGATCTCTGGACTACATTGAAGTAACTGTACATGCTGTATTTATCAGGCAAACACACGTGTCTTTGCTTCTATCACCACAAATGCTAACACTTATAGTTGATTTGGGACCGTCTCTGGGGATGTCACGGTACGCTCGGCTCTAAAAAGGTGAACAGCACGTTAATTGGCGAAGATGAAAGCAGAGCATAACCTTGAATATTTCAATACAACCACCGTGTCAATGAGAAACACTCACCTCGCTGCAAGACCTTCGAATCAGGACGCGCTCAAACGGACTTGAGTTCAAACGGGGGGGGCTCATGACGGGTCCACACCAGCCTCTGATTTACGCAGAACTTTTTAGTGAAAGTCTGGATGGAATTCCCGCCCATCTCCTCAGTGTTAAAGGTCTAATTAGTTGCTCATGGTCTGAAGAGTGTAATTGTTTCTATGTGTGTGCTAGCTGGTGTGTATTTGTACTCTCTCCTATGATGATCCATGATGCTGGAAGCCATTAGCAAACACAAGCCTGGCGAAATGGAGCGTTTCCCCCATCCAGATCACTCTCAGATGTGCCTGTGTTAAGGGCAGTGTCCCCGGCTGATGGCAGAGAGGAATTAAAGGGGAAAACTTCGTCTGTTACTAGACCCCCTGCTGGGCGTTTGATGTACAGCGCGGCTTCTTTTACATCACTAAGCTGCCTGGTGCATGGGTATTTAGCCTTTATTACATTCAGCTATTGTCATTTTTTTCTGAAAGTATTCTCCCTCTAGTCTAATTTTCCACATTCCTGAGAAGACGCGGTGCCACATGTGGTTTGATATTTTTTCTGGTTTCTACTACGCTACAGGCGAAAGGTATAGGAGGAGAATGGGGGCGGGTGAAGGATGTGGATGTCAGAATTAAGCATAATTTGTGTGGGTAATATTCACACTGTCAGAGCAAGTTATTTGGTTAATCAGTTCAGCAGGCACGCCGCGTTTACAGTAAGTCCCTGCGTCCCTATGCGCAGTATTTGTAGTGTTTTTTTGTAGCCCTGTAATTAGAGCAATCACTATGACAGTATGTGCGTGAGGATCGCAAATTATATTTCTGCAGAGTAATTGTTGGCATTATTGCGACATGAATCCTCTGCTATACTCTTTCTTTCTTTTTTTTTTGTGATCGGGCTTCAACAGTAGTTACATCATGGTTGGAGGAGCAAAGCATGTGGTGGCCATTGCAAAAAAAAATAAAAATCAAACTTGGATCAAATCTGGCCTGAAAGTTATCTTTGGAGAGCCCGTGCAGAGAGACGCGCTGTTTGTTGTCCTCCCCCTCTGCAGCTCATGTGGAAGCGCAGTGTGCCGGGTGCATTTGTGGGCAGATGAGCTCAGAGACAGAGGGGGGAGAGAGGAATGCTGCGGCGTGCTGGCTCTTCATCATATGCAAGAAATGTGACACGTTTGTTTGCATACGCCGCTGTGAAACCACGTTACAATGACCCCCAGCTGTTTCTCTGCGCAGATCTCAAATGTGCACGGCAAACCAAGGACCCTCCTCCAGCGTTAGGATTTTTTTTTTATAGACATCAATCATTTCACACCAGGCTATAACGAATGAATAGCTAGATCAAACCCTATGCATACAAAACACAACTTGATTATGTTGTTTACCGTCTAGCTGCTATAGCCTTGAGCGGCGCTGTTTATGAATTTGTTGTTGTGGGGGTCCGCTCCATCACTGCGACACAGGTCCAACGTAATGCTCAGAAGTGCCAGCTGATTTATAGACAAGTGGAGGATGTATTCAGCCTTCTCCTGTACTTTCAAACTTGCTTTTCCAATCTCCATCTCATTATCACCATGCCCAAAGCTCAATCAACAACGCGCTATGTCAGAGCGATCATAAATTCACATGAGGGAGAGTGACTGGGCCAAGCACTGGGCCCAGGACTGTGCTTAATAACACTGATTTATTTCACATGGCCACACTGAATAAAAGCTTCAATGGTAATGTGCAATGGTGCAAATGAATTTTACAAATTGTGCCGTAGTCAATAGAGAGACAAAAAGGCTCCACAAACCATCTCTCAGAACAGAATCTTAACCATGTACATTGTTACTAAGATGCACTGCTACTAAAACACAAACGTGGCCAGGAAACATCACATCTGTCACAGAGAAAAGTGACCCACAGCCACATGTATCAAGGCGAAGTCTGTGAGGTCATGTCTGATTATTTATTTTACTGCTGACAGCCACAGCTTTGGGGAAACCACTTGTCACTGTTCACTAAGAGTTTTCCACATCTGTGTCCGTGTACCTTTAGGAGTTCCCCTGAAGCCCAGGAAGGAACTGGTCTTTTTGGAGCAGCCGTCGGGCCACCTGGAGATCCGCTGGTCCTCTAAGTTCAACATCTCTGTAGAACCCGTCCTGTACGTGGTGCAGCGCCGCTGGAACTATGGCATCCACCCCAGTGAGGACGATGCCACAGAGTGGGAGACAGTGGCACAGGTAAGGACCTGCAGAGTCAGTGCTCACAAACTGAGGGCACAAATTGTTTGCCGTCTTATTGTGCTAAAAGTAGTTGTGTTACTGTAACCTCTGAGCCCCACTTGTCCCAGCATGCAGAGTCTACAGCTGTGAAAGTGCTGCACCTCACTGACAGAAGCGCGCACACGCCTGCACATTCCTCACCGTCACAGTGTCTTTGAGCTTTTGGCAAAGAGAAACATGCACACGACTGATGTGTTAGAGCACTTACATAGAGCCATGACCCTGCATGACCTCTGACCCTGAGTTTGCTCTCCATCTGTCCCTCAGACTGCGGAGGAGCGCATCCAACTGGCCGACATCAGAGCCAGCAGATGGTACCAGTTCAGAGTGGCTGCTGTCAACGTCCACGGGACTCGCGGCTTCACTGCTCCAAGCAAACACTTCCGCTCCTCCAGAGGTCTGTACCAGCACCCGCCTGTGTGTGGCCCTACCCTCTGCTCACTTCCTGTTTGACACCCTGAAGCATTTGGTCCAAACAGGTGGCATCTGCAGAAAACACACAAATGTTACAATAAGGCGTGTACATTTTGATCTAAACTATAAAACGGCACATTGATGTACCATTAGCAGCCCTTAAATAAGTTAGATTTCCTTGTAAAATGATCATAAGATTTACAGTTTCAGAAGAGGCCATTGCATGCCTCTTATCCCTGGTTTACACACTTTTGAACTGTGAACAAAATGAAGGAAATCCACATCAATGTCTTGTTCCCTTCACTAATGAGACTAGACACTCCATCTCAGAGCTGAAACCAGATCTTCATTTATGCCTTCAAAGGACAGCATTTGCCCTGTTTTTACAGTCACATAAAATGTAATATGTCTAAATTAGTCAGAACATTGTGAGCTCCAAATGCAAGTGTTGTCTTGTATCCAGAGGGAGTGATGTAACTGAGACACACTTCAGATCTTTCAAAGAGATTAGTGAGTGAGCTCCATTGACAGCTGAAGTCTTAGTCAGCCTTAGTCAGTTACTGAAGTGACTGACAGTGCAATGGCTACACTGGACTCTGTATGGCTCGTGTTCAAAGCTTATGGCATTTTCTCTGAACTTTATGAATATAATATTGTGTATTTATTAGGTGAGTCTGTGTTAAGACGTCAACGCTTGCCTAAAAGGAACTTTGAGTTTCAGGGTTGCTATGGGAGTCTTAAAAACACTTGTGTCTTCAGCAAACAAGTGCATCTCTGCAAATGCTTTTAATTTGAGCTGTTTTATAGAGCGAGAGATGTGTACATTATATAAACTAACCTTAATAAGGAGAGATGTACAAAAGTGCAAAGGCCTCCAATTCTACTCACAAATTTACCCAAACATTTTATATTATTATGGTATTATTATTGTGGCAGACAAAATAATACATAATTGAAATGCATATATTTTTGTACAGATTCTCTCCTGCCTTTTGAGTAAGACCAATATAATATGTCAGATGTTGGCTTCCAAATAATGGTTCAGATGTTCAGACATATAATTTGATGTTATAAGACTATTTACAGGTTGTAGTTGGCACAGAAAGACCATAGTGTTTGCAATTTCACAGCTACATAACACATTTGTTTTATTTAGTTAAAAGGAAATAAAGGCTGTTTTCAGCTTCTGCACTGGTATCAGATACTTAAAGTTGCACTGTGTAACATTTAAGGTGTAGGCTCTGCTACTTACTACATTATTTCTTTGCCTGGAATATTCCACAGTATGGCATTTAACATATCTCCCTTTGCTAAAAAACATGAATTCTTATCATATGCAGACTTGTTTCTCCATCGATCTGAGTATTAAAATGTCTCCATTGTGATTACCACATTTATTTCCATACTGTGGAATAATTATTGCAAAACAGTAATATCTCCATGGAGACAAGCAGGTGGCGGACCCTCCAACAGAAAAGCTACACATTACAACTTTAAAGCCACAGTATCGAAACCATTATCAGAACTGAAAAAGCAGGATCAGTGCATCTCTATTTGAAACCAACCATACTTTAATATCCCTATATTACCATCATTTATTTCAAAGACAGTTTCAAGAGGTTAAAAATAAGCTAATCTTAAAAACACATGGCCTATAATAAACCATAGACTTCTAAAGAAGAGTTTTCATATTTAGTGGTATGGTCTGCTTGTTGACCCGTGCTGTCAATCCTCCTCCGCTCTGCAGTCTCCAGAGCGTTGGCTGTCTGTCTGAAAGAGCCAGACTCCAGGTGAAAGAGGATTCTGCCGCTGTGGGGACGGAAAGCGATCTCCAATCAGACCAATCAGGGCACAGCGCTGATAGACTGATGAGAGCTGTCACATATTTGATGGACTCCCAAGTCTGTCTGCCGACCATCATTATTTATACAGCCCGGCCATAGCACCTGATTGCAATTTTGCACACTATACTTTGTTAGGGCAATTTGTGAAGGCCGAATGGTTATTTATCTTGCATGGTGGTATGAGGAAGTAACGTGTCCAATAGTGCGGTCGTGGATTGAATGTGTTTCAGTTAGTTGCAGTTAAGATAGGCTGCTGGAGATGAGTTAACACGCATGCATTTTTAATTTTATTTATTTATATTTTGACAACACAAATCTATAATTAACATTAAGAAGAATACAGTAATATTTTTTGCTCCTTTCAGTAGGGCTGCAGCGGAAGAACTGAGAAAAATAACTCCAACTAATAACTATTTTATTACTTTTTAATTGTTATCTTGACTGGACAGACTCTTAAACATGCCAAAAGAGTTCTTTTTTAATCACAAATACAGCCATATTATTAAATCATAAAAATAACAAACGATCAGTGATTTTAAGCAATAACGCACTGTCTATGGTAATAAGAAAATCCATTTTAAAAACCTAATTTTGCAGTATCAATAATTAGTTTGAAAAATAGTTATTGACTACTCAAAATATAATATTGGTGACTGTTTGGCAACTAAAATATGTGTTAGTTGCTCTCTAACTTATTGTCCTTTTGCTCTCTAACTACAATTTTTTTCACTTTGTTGAACATAATTTGAAAATTGTGCAGAAGCATCTGTCTGCTCTCTGGACTTTAGTGTGTTTACATGTTATACAATATAACACTTTCAAAAATGTATTTATGTTTATTAAAGACATCACAATCGCATTAGACAAGCTAGATGCATTGCTTTGAGTGTTTTAGCATAAGTGCAAGTTTTCAACACCCGTCCATTTAAAAAATAAAAAATATAAACTACATGCATAAAAACAGACAAGACACATGTTACATACAGATAAAATATACGCAGTACATTTTCAGTAGGTGCATTTTTGATTGTTGTTATTGGTTTCTAATTTTAAAAAAATCTGGTAAACAGTTCCATAGTCTGGCCCTTGTAGCAAGAGTTGTCCTGAACATAGGAACAACACAATTACCACTAGTAGCACCTCCTGTGTTCGCTCTGTCTGTACATTTTATGGTCGTGGCAAATTCTACAGTGTGCAGTACAGTGGTGTATCACAGTTAAAAAACTTAAAAAATAATTTAAGATGATTAAAATTGGTAAAATGTTCAAAGTTAAAAAGGTTATGTTTTGTTAAAATTTCACAGTGGTGCCAATGTCTGGGCTTTTTGTCAAGGACTTAAGGGTCAGTTTGTATAATAAACAGAGAGGTTTTAGTGTGGTTAAGGTTTGCTATTTGGAGTTGGGCATGAACTTCTTTACTAACAGCTTGTACAGTAACTCACACGTGACCCCAAGTTACACAGTGATAGAGCCAGAGGGCAAAATAAGTAAAATGTTTGGGGGTTAGTGTTTCGAGGAGGCTTAATTTGTCATGCTTATAAATACATCGAAAACATTATTTTAAGCTCCTAATATGACCTGGTGATTCACAGGGCTATTGTAGAGTGTGGTGCCCCTGTTTCTCCTCCTGCTCTGGGCCGACCACAGCAGAAGGCAGGTCACTCACAGCACGCATGCACCATCTGAACATATTTGACTTGGGAATGTGAGCTCAAAGCCAAAGTGAGCAGCATGTGTTGGCTGACCTTTGACCCGCACCCTCCGTCCTGCTGAACACTGTCATCAGGGTGACGTGACACCTGTCATAACATCTCATGGCAGACTGTCAATGTTGGACTAATTACTTTACACAGTGTGCCATAGCGCCTCCCGCCCTGTAGCTGCATTCTCTCAAGTGTTGAAAGGTGTCCTGACTGGAATATACAAGACTAATTACGCGAGTTACTGCTCATCAACCAAGCCTCTTCTTTAAACCCCTACAGATGTTCTGAAATGTCGATATTGATTGTGTTTTGACTTGTTGCCGTAACAGATCCAGCTGCGCCCCCGAAGCCTTCCAGTCTGCGGGTCACAAATGTCACAGTGGGTGAGGATGGTCAGGTGATGGTGCGTCTCAACTGGACTGTCCTGGAGGAGCCTGATATCCCCATTCACCATTACAAGGTGTTCTGGAGCTGGAGCGTGCCCTCCAAGTCCATGGTGCCATCCAAGAAGAAGAGGAGAAAGACCACAACTGGGGTAAATCTGTGCACCCTGCTCATACATTTTATTAGACTTAAACTTAGACAAGCTTTATTGATCCACAAGGGAAATCATTTGGACACAGTAGCTCACACATCACAATATAATATAATAACAAAGAGCAACCATATAAATGGTAATAATAAATTCTAAATAAAAAGCAAAAATAGCAAGAGACTGGTGTCAAATAAGGCATAATTATATAAATGTATATCTACAAGTAAAAATAAAATATAGAAAAATAGTAATACAAAATATATCTCAGCCATATGCAAGCTGTATAGTTCTTTATTTGACAAATTTTGGGGGATTTCTAACATTATTGTGAGGTTAGATGTTAATGTATGCAGTATCTGATTTTCATTTCGTAGGGTTTGTAGCCTTAAAGTTTTCCATCTGCCAATAGCTTAGATGATCATTAAGGATTCAGCAAAAGCTGTGTTCCAAATGTACAACCCTGAGGCTCTCAACCATTGACAGATAATTTGTAGATAAAAGAAATTTTCTAATATCTAGTGTCATTTAGTTACAAAACACCTATTTGTTTTCTTTTCATGCAGTTCAGACATTTTGTTTAAGCACTGGCCTTCAAAAACAGTATTCATGTATTTTATGTAAAAATGTAAAACATCTTAGTCTGACGCCCAAATGGATTTAAAGTATAAAATAAAACAGCAGTGGTCCATGTGTACAGCCCTGAGGCACTGACATGTCACGCAGGCAAAAAATATATATATTATATGTTACAAATAAGGGCATTAAGGACATTACTAAGGGCATTATCTTCCATTGTAATATATTATAGACCACTATTAAAGGGCTCATAGTAAGTTACTTTCTGATCTGTGTGTGTTTGTTTTGTTTCATTCACACATGTTTAACACACAAACCCTGCATATTTAAGCTCAGTTCTTCTCTCAAACTGAAAATTTCAGCCCTAGAATTGCCCATCTCTTCTGACCAAAAGGTAAAAGAGAGCTGTTAATCTCTTCATGACATCACAAGGTGGAACAGAGCATTTTGAACTGGAGATGTGCATAGACAGACTAAGCATTACTCAAACATGTAAGAATGAAACAAAACACAGCTCCGTGTATGTTTTCAAACATGGCTTAAATAGCTCACAAGAATCCATTTTGTGTGATATAGGAGCTTTAATGTTCATTTTTGCTGTGTGACCCTGTGAGTACCTATGGCTCCCTGTCTCTAAGAATTTCATTTGAAGTCAGTGGAGCAAAAAGGCAGAGTGTCTAGACGTGCACCTCTATAGGATCTTCTCTTGAATTAGCTTTAGAAACGCGGCACAGATGTGATGCGGAGGAGATAGAGGTGGGAGACACTAGACACTTATTGACACATGTACTACTGGTTTCCACTTCAGCACCTCAGGGCTTTGAAAACAGCCTGCTGCTCCTGGAATGTCAAAACATGCATGGTCAATAACAAGAAGTCATCAAGCTCACGCTGGTGGAGGAATGCTGTAAGTCAAACACGGAGAACCAACCCTGGGAGGCTTCCATAACAGTGCTCCCTCACAAGACCCTGAAGGCTATCTCCACACCACGATACCTTCCTCCGCTCCACATGTGCTCTTAATAAGCAAGCCCTTTTCCCATAAGTCTTGGCTGCCTGTGGTTTAGCTGTGACTAGGACGGTGACAGGGCTTTGAAAAGAGGCTCCAACGACAAAATGGTATCATGCAAGTGCTAGCTAGACTTAGACTTAGACAAACTTTCTTGATCCACGTTGAAATTGTTTGGACACATTAGCTCATTCATCACAATATAATACAATAACAAAGGGATTGAATATAAACGGTGATAATAAAATCTAAATTAGCTTCTGTGACCTGCTGCCACTCTCTTAGGCACTTAGATCAGATAAAAGAAAGAAGAAAATAAAAGTTTACCTGTTTTGTTGTGTGTTGTCTTATAGGCTCAGAGTTGGGTGGATCTGGAGGGACTGCAGGCCAACAGCAGCTACACGGTGGAGCTCCAGGCTGTGACCTACTGGGGACAAGTGCGTCTGAAGAGCGGCAAGTCCTCGCTACAGTTCAGCACCGCGCAGACCGATGTGTCAGGTGAGAGAGCCTGGGCTCCCTGTTTAAACATAAACCTGTAGAAGGGCTCAGAGGTCTAACTTAAAGGTTTGTACTGGAGAGAAGCAGCTGGTTCAATCAATGTTAAGGCCAGAGTCTCTTCAATTCAGTTTTTACAGACAGAATATGTAAGAATGTGGGCGACAGTAGCTTAGTTTGTTGAGAGTTTGTCCTCTGATCTGTTATTGTGTCCTTGGGCAAGGCACTTAACCCACCTCACCAGCAGTGTTTGTGTTTACCGGTGTATGAATGCGCGTGTGAATGGGCGCGTGGTTCCTTGATGTAAAGCGCTTCGAGTGCCTTGAATGTATAAAAGCGCTAGATAAAAACGTGACCCTGACCATTTACCAACGTGTTAAACATTGGAAGATTCGCCTTTTATCTGGGATTGCATAAATTAAAGATATTTATATCTTAGTCAGACCAGCCAGAACTCAAGATTAGCATCGCAGTATTTGTAGAAGCCAATCCAAAAACTAGAAAAGCGATACTGCGAACGAGGAATAACCCAGCTTTGATCATTTCTGATTAATTAATTACACTCCGATTGATAGAAATGTAGTTGTTGTACAGAAGTAACTGAGTAGCCATCCATTCAGAACCTATGTACCATTTATTATTCAGAGTGAGTCCTGCCTTAGACCCTTGTTTCTATTATAGAGCCTAAAAATACAGACAACTGAGGGTGTAGTTTGATTTCTTCACTGATTAGTGTTGAGACATTTACTGCCGTGAGCTATATTAAGAAAAATATTCTGTCTAATAGCACTTACTCAAACTATGATCTTGCAACAATCAGTTTCCCACAGTTTGCCATCATTAAATTGAGTTTGAAAAAATAGCCTCCGGGAAAGATTAGACTGATTTCTAAATGACTCTTTTAGTTGTCTTAAATGTTTAGCTTTTGTCTATCCAGTGTGCAGTCACCATGCTACTACCTTTAAAATGGGTGTGTTCCAGCTGCCTTATACTGGTAGTGATGCACACAATTAATAAATACCTCATACAACCCCTTTGAGATCAGGAACTAATTAAAATCACACAGGAGCCTTGATAGTTTTGCTGACTTAGGCCTGGCACATGCGCAAGAAACTGGCCAAGTCAACCGAGAGCAATCTTATTTTTTGTTTGTTCAGTGTTGATTTTCCTAAATTACAATAAGTCCTCAGGCAAACAGTCAACTCTAATCATGGCTGTTACAAAATGCCAAAGATGTTCAAGGGATGCTCACAGCACATCTGCTCCACAACGGAACCAAGCCTCACAGCTAACCTAACCTAACCCTATGTGAATTCTCTTGCGGACTCCATTGCTGTTAACATGTTATGGAGTCCAAATCTCTCTTTTCTCTTCCCAGGAAAATCAGTGTCCAAACCCAAAAAGGATGAACTCTCGCCCATTGCCTCGACTCTGACCAAACGCCCCTCTGGCCCTCTGGAGGTGGGCACGCCCTTCTACCAGGATGGCCAGCTGCAGGTCCGTGTCTATTGGAAGAAGAGAGGAGGTATGTGAACCCGCTGATTTATGGCCTCTCAAATCGAATTAGCACCCCATTACGTCCATCAATCACCCGGTCTTATGTACATCATAATCAGGTGCATGACTCACTCGCAGTTGCCCAAACAATGGAATAGCCCTAATAAATGAGGTATCGCACAGTGCAAATGAAATAAACGAAACAATGTGTCTTTGTGGGAAATGGAAATGTGATCGTGCGAGGGAAATTGGTGTAAACTCGCACATGGATCGGTAGAGCGGAGCCACTGTTTAGTAAAGAACAATAAACACAGAGCCCGAGCCGTGAGATGGGATTTATTGACAGCTGTGTTTAATAGCTCCTCGCCCTCGCCTCACCATCGCACCAGAGCGGTTCTGCTTTACAAGACCTGATGTCATCCACATCCAAGCGTTTGGAGCGCCGCAAGGGGTTACAGCCCGTGGACATGCCTATCCCAGTGGCATCCATTCCCCGAGCCTTCTGTTAATACCAGAGTGGAAATATGGAAACCTTGAAAGCCATGCTCTCAGGGTAACCTGTCAAGTCCCATTCACTGCTCTATGTTATGTTACTAATATATGTCATCGGCCAAGCCAAGCTCCACATCTTGGAGTCAAGAATGTGCGCCCTGGCTGATGGAGAGGCCTGGTGAGACACCAAGTGCTGAATCAGAGTGGGAGAAGATGGAGCGAGCCCAGAGTTGTTAGTAAGGCTGGCCCGGACGCTCGCAGCTGAAAGATGCTGACAAGGATCAAGCACGGCTGGGGAATCGCAGCGCTAATCCTGTTCCAGGCACTTTGTGTTAGCTGCTGTGGAGGGTTTGTGCCCTGCTCTTCATTAGTCTGAAGGATGACCCCGGCTTTAACCTGGGTCTCACTCTACACTGTACAGTATATACACTTACATATGGCCCTGGGAGCTGTAGTCTCCGGACATCTGTTTTGTGTGACAGAAGAAAGGAACAGGTTAACCGAGGCATGATTAAACCCTGGCTCATTGTCTGTGTGATCCAAAGCAGTGGGCCTCTGGGTAGTCTCCAGCAGAGCAGACTGTACAGCAGCTCAGATAGTGTATCTGTGTGTATCTGTGTATCTCTGTGTGCTCGGGGCGGACAATAGCAGCGGTCCAGTGGTGGTACTTCTAAGTTTTGCTCCCAGACATGATTTATCACACACCAGCCACTCTGTGCTCCACCTGATCTCAATGTCCCTATTTCTTGTTTTACATCCCACTTCCTTCTCTGTCAGACGCGGCTCAACATACTATGTTTATTTTTTCCTGATTTCCCGGTTCTCTGTAATTCCTCTCTTCTGCTTCCAAAGAGCTCAGGGGCTCCAAGTGCCAGATCTGTGTCTAAGCCTTCAAAGGGCCCCTTTTATCTCCCCACTACAACCGTGGCCTCCGCCAAGGGGCGAACGTAGCATAACTCAATTATTAATCTGAGAAATATTTCACATAACCAAGGGATGCAGCTGAATGAATAATAAATCTGGGAACATGAGATGAGGGTGATAGGCAGATATCTGTGCTGATGCTGAAGCTCTACTGTACTGTGATACTGATAGTGTCTGGGCTGCTGGGGACTGCACTGATATAAAGGGACATATGTGAACTTAGAGCAGCCGAGGGAAGCAGGGAAATTATTGGATTAAGTTAATGCACTGATCAAATAGGAAGTACTTTGAACTTCCAACATCTTTATCCAGATGATCAGTTATGAAAATACTGTCATATAAGATTAAAGTTAAAGCCAGTTGTGTGAATCATGTAATCATTCCATTCTGTCAGATTCTGTTTTGATAATGCTCTGATTAAGAGTCAATGCAAGGAATCAAGTGTAACATGATTTATACAGTATATGCCCACATGCTCTAGACTTTAAAGGTGCACTATGCAACTTTTCTGGTAGAGGGTTCGCTACCATGCTACCACTATGGAGATGTTAATGCTTTCCCTGGAATGTTCCATGGTATGACATTAAACATATCATCGAGCATTTATGCATACGGGTGTTTCTGTTGCTCAAAAATACCATAATTCTTTTTTCTGAACAGGAAAGAGATCTGAATTGTAATGTAGTGTAGTGCTGTAACCCGCTTGCCTCCTTTGTGATAGGTAGATTTAATCTACGCTGGTGATGGACCCTCCACTAGAAATGTTACAGAGTGCACCTTTAAATAAGATGTAGTTTGTGCGTATTCAAAAGGAATAATCTCTGGAAGGTAGAGAACCATAGAGAAATGTTTTACCAAGCAAGCACTTCTCTGAATGAAAATGTGGCCCAGAGGAGGAGGTAATTTAAAGCTTAAAATGCAGTAGTATTGGTCTGCCTCAGTGGCTCATCTACCACATAATGAACCATGTCATATCCCCTCTCCTTGTTTATCCACTGTCTCTGAATATAAAACCAATGTTTGGTCTTAATGCAAAGCTAAATTGACTGTAAGATAGAAGATAAGGTATGTTTTATTCAAACCCAGGAGGGAAATTCTGCTTATATCATGGAAAGAGGCAACGGACATAACAATTCACAAACTACTGAATACAGAAGCACAATATACACTCAGTTTTCTACATGGTAAACCAAAATAAAATAAGCCGATACCTCATTATCCCGATATTCATTTTTCACTATTTCTGACCTATGTTGTAATGTTGTCATCATAAACATACCTGGAGCTGTGTTTACTTTACTGACACATGTTTAACACACAAACCCTGCATATTTAGGCTGAGTTCTTCTCTCAGACAGAAAACACTCCACACACCTTCACTAGAATCATTTGGATAATTTCAGCCCTGGAACTGCCAGGAACTGCTGGAACTCTATCACAAGGTGGAACAGAGCATTTTGAGCTTTGAATGTGAAGACAGACTAATAACAAAGGTTTACTCAAACATGTGTGAATGAAACAAATGTCAAAACTATAGGTATGTTTTTGGTGAGGAAACAGTATGGTAGCATGGCTTAAAGCTCTCAAGAGTCAATTTTGAATAACCTAGGAAATCTTGATCTTGTTCTAAGAAAATCATGATTTTAGTTTTGTACCACACCTCCCACGTCTAACACTGTGCATAAAAATTACAGTATGCTATTTGGTGATATACAGCACTTTCTGGCATATTTATGTAACCGTTCACTCTCATCTGTCTTTCTCCACAGATCCTGAGGTGAGCCGTTACCATGTCCAGTGGATGCCTGAGTACTGCAGCCATAATGAAACACGGGCACCGGAGAAATCAGTCACCCAGGTCAGTTTGGTTCCGATTCCTCTGTACCGTGCAAATCCGTCCTCGTTGCTATTGTCTCATTGCTTAGAAAAAACCCTGGACCCACAGCAGATCAGTCAATGGCTGTTGTTTCGGAGTATTATGAGTCAGTCGTGTGGTCAGGCGTGCGTCGATCTGGCCAATAAAACGCATTTACTAAAACAATGATTCCCGGAATGAGGGATTGTTCACCTCCTTTGGCCCCAGCCCTGCTCCTGCTCGGACTTGTTTTTGGGTGCACTGAGGTTTAACGTAAAGTGTTTTGGCTGGGGTCGATGCAGCATGGCAGTTTTCAGTAATCAACACATTCTTTAGGGGGCTGCACTGGCGTCGCTTGGAAATATACGTTTATTCTCTATAGATCATTGGGACACGCTCCAGAGCCGGGAGCTTTTATGCGAGCACAGCGCCTCATTCACTTTTAATCAAATCTGTTTCATATCACAGAATACACACGCCCTCACTCCAGGGACTGGCTATTATTGTTGAATCTCTTTAGTACAAATACAAGATTTAAACGCACGTGTCAGCTTGATTTTCACTGGTGAGAAACAAGAGAGGGTTTTGTTCAGGTCAATAGATGATTAAAGTTTCATTGCGGTTTAAAGTGTAAGGCCGCTGCGTTGAATTCATTAGCGAGAATTTATCAGCTATTCTCTTTAGATTACACTCGGGTTCTCTGTGGTCAGCGCAGTTTTAAAGAGTTGTTTTCACATTTTGAAACTGTAGAAAAATCATGTTCAGTTCAGTGCAAAAGTGTGAATGAGGTAAAGTGTCAAAAGTGCAGATTTCTAAATAGATGCATTTTGTTTTCAGTTATGAACAAATAAAACCAAGTGTGGAAGATTGAATTGTGAATATAGATGTGAACAATTGCAGTCTCTCACCTCATAAATGATTGGAATTGCAGAGACTAAAATAACTTGGATAAAAAATGCTTTATTTGTGCATGTTTTTCCTCATCACAAACATACCTGGAGTTATGTTTTGTTTAATTCACACATGTTTAACACACAAGATTTCACTCAAACATCTGTGAAAGAAACAAAACACAACTCCAGGTCTGTTTTTGAGAAGGTAAAAACATTATAACATGACTAAAAGCTCACAAGAGTCCATTTTGCATGATATAGGACCTTTAAACAAAAGCAGATTTCTGTGTCAAGTTATTTCTCTTTCTCCTCTAGACATTTTTGCACTGTAGTCTCTAATCAATTCCAAAGCAGTTCAAAGTGTAATATGGGGCATGTTGGATATATTCTACCACAGCCATTTTAATTATCTCAGGCCCTCCATGGGTCCTGACCCCGTGACCCCAAACTCAAGTCATCTGAATAATGACTTCTAATGCGTTTGCTGGCACAGGAAAACTACATCAACCTCCCGGGCCTGCTGTTTTCCTGCAAGTACAAAGTTACCGTGCACACGCTCAAATCCAAGAGACGCTCCAAGGACGAGAGCACCACCTTCCTCACCCCATCCTGCGCCACCATCCGGAGCAAGACGCACAAGTACATCCCCTGCCCCGGCGAAGGAGGTGGGTCTGACCAGTCTGACACATAAAGGTCATTCAAAATCAATGCACGAGTCAGATACAGTAGCATGATCCTACTCTGTTTCCCCTAACAGCTCTCCCCAAGGTATTGGCTAAACCCGAGAACCTCACCGCGTCCTTCTCCATCAATGAGGGAAACATCACGGGAAGCTTCGTGTGGAGGGTGTCGAGGCTCGCCCCGAACCTGAGGATAACGGGCTACCAGGTGACGTGGGCTGAGATGACCAGCGAGAACAGGCAAAACAGTCTGCCCAACAGCATCATATCTCAGTCGCAAATCCTGCCGCCGGTAAGAAGGGGCTGACCTGTTTACATGCACTAGATGTGGGGTATGTGAATGCATAATTATGGTATTAACATAATGGGTCTTTGATGTATGGGCGTGGAGGTTTTTTTCATCCTAATGGGTGTAATGAAATGTGGGACTAGTATGTTTGTGTGCAACCACTTTTTGGAATCATTTTGTAAAAAAAAAAAAAATAGACAAATCCAATGTTATGATTTGATCTTTCTAAACATTTCACTTGCTCACAGTGTTTCTAGGAATTGAGAGGAAGGTAGTCCCAAATGGAAATGGTTGAATGTTTGGATTTGACGTCCTGTTGTAGAAAATATGGGGCTTAGTCTAGAACAGGGGTGGGCAAACTTTTTGACTCGTGGGCCACAAAGGGTTCTAAAATTTGATGGAAGGGCTGGACAAGGAGCAGATGGATGGTGATGATGAGTGTTTTAGTAATGCACCTCATAAGAGAAAAAAATAACATGGGATATGTAAAAAACATGTGATTGAATTTCAACTGAAAATCATTACAAAGCATTACAACTTTTACTATTATAATTTATTCAAGTTTGGTGGGCCGAATTAAAAAGATTAAAGGGCCGCATTTGGCCCCCGGGCCGTAATTTGCCCACCCTTGGTCTAGAAGATCTGTTTATGCTTATTTTAGGTGATACCTACTTTTCACAAACAAACTAAATCACTTGTCTCCCATGGTACTTACCTCAGTACTCATTATAAATACCTGATGTTTAATTACTTTAAATTATGCAGTATGCCAAACAGTGTGTGCATGTGTGCGTGTGTGCGTGTGTGCGTGTGTGGGTGTGTGGGTGTGTGGGTGTGTGTATGTGTGAGTGTGTAGCATTCAAAGCACAACAAATTGTGAACAAAGTTTTTTCTAGAATCTTGAATTTTTGATTTTTTTTACTTATAATAATCTTTTCTATCAACACCACACAAAAGCATTCACAAAAGCATGATTTAGATCCTGAAATCTCCTCCTTTATTGGGACATTTGAAACACACTACACTGAGTCATGGATTAGCCTATATATTCTATCCTCTGCCTTTCTCCTGCCTGTCCTGGTCGAGGGTGAATCAGGATAACACTTTTAGCATGAATCCTGCGATAAGCCCTTGTGCGCTGACAGCCGCAGACATCTGAGGAAGTGTTGTGTCCATCTTTTCCCTCTCTCTTCTGTACTTTTTCTGTACTTTGTTCCCCGGGCTCCGCGTCTCCTCCTTTCATCCTGCGTGAGAGCTCTGAAAACGCCGCTCTTTGGCATAATCTGCTCCATCAACAACACGTTCCGCCTATCTGCACCTCCCAGCCTCTGGAGCTCGTCTATAAATAAAACCACCCACTGCACACTTTATCAAGCTGGCAGAAAATAAGACAGCCCCGGCCCAAACCTTATGAAAACACTGTCTTTGTTTTTGTCTGCAGCTGACACTCCATTCCCCTCGGTTTATAGGCCTTCCCCGTACAAGCCCTGTCATAATCATGGACATGTTCTGGAGTATTTCAGCTCACTGCTGCTCCCTCTCTCTCTCTCCCTCTTCTCTTTCCAGGACCATAACTCCCTGGTGGTGTCCAGCCTCCGGCCGTTCACTTTCTACAGGCTGGAGGTGCAGGTCATAACCACAGGAGGGGAGGGGCCTGCCACTGTCAAGACCTTCCAGACCCCGACCATTTTACCAGTAGTTCAACATAGTACGTATCTACAGTACATATACTATACTTAACAGTAATATAATTATACGTTTTGCGACATATTGTGTTATTACATTTTGAGTGATAGAGTGTTCTTTGCAGGCTGAGTGAGAGTATTGCTTGTATTTTTTTAAATCAGTGTTTCCCAAACTTTTTTTTCTGGGGACCCATATTTTAAAAGTCACAAACCAAGTCAATAAACATTATTATCGTTCATTATTATCATTATTATTCGTAAATCACAAAATAAAGGTGGATTTGACTATTATTGAACATCGATGAGGATATTTTATTGTTGACTGAGTCTCTCTGAACAATTATTATTACTCAAGTTTTAAACAATGAAAAGCAGTAACTGAACCAGCTTGAAAAGGGACCCATAAGTCATCTATTTGGACATTAAATATATCCCATTTCTCTTTCTTTTCATTCAATTGAACCAGCAATACTGGAACAAAATAATCAGTAGAACTGTACATTACAAACCTACATGCAGATCATGACAATGCGACCCAAAAAAAAAAAAAAAAAAAACTCTTACCTGAGGGTTTTTGGGAAACAATGTTTTAAATAATAGAACTTTTGTGCAGTGTTTAGTTACTGGTTGTAGATGAAAGTCCTACCTTAACTGTGTTCTGGTCTTATAGTTTGGTCTTTATTTACACATTGCACAAATTTAGCTAAACTTACTGTTTCAGAAACATGTATCAAAAATGTTGCATAAATAATCATAGTAATCAAATATTGTATTTTATTCTTATCATGCAGCACAACTCTGTACAAATTATGTAAAATATATGGTAATCAGCTTCATAAAACAAGAGTGTGGTGGGTTTTTGCTGAAGAGCACAAATTTACTGGCCTCTTTTTAAGATAAAAATCCTGTTCGCTGTTTTTTTAATGAAACCGAGGCACTGGAAAAGACAGACACTGAGCTTTATAACTGCTGCTGTATTAAAAGAAATGAATAAACAAAAATATATTACACCCTACATAACATATGGAAGAAGCAATATTATCAGTGAAGCATCAAATAAATTGCTGTTCATTTCCCCAGCAGTCATAAAGGAATCCCTAATATAAAGCATGGAGCATATGGATCATAAATATGTCTTAAAAGCACATAAAATACATTACTGTTCGCGGTTATGTCAACACAAAGTGAGGAAGTTGGCTGCACTTCCATTACCTTATCTTTTGGGAAGCAGCATCATTATCCCAAACATAAAAAACAGTGTGTTTTGTCAGCAAAGACGACAGATGTGAAAAGATTTAATGTTGTTGATAACAGGTTAGCCCAGAAACAACACTTGCCGTACAATTACTCAAATGTCAACTTGCTTTTTCTAGGGCCTCGACTCCGGCAGCACCACTCTCACCACCAGAAGGCCACAGTAGAGAGACACTGAATGGGCAAAAAGAAATCACAATTAACCCAGTGGTAAGAAGAAACAGTGGATTTCTGTTAGAAGGAATGTATGGAGTAGAATCGGAGCACATCGGACCATGGACTGATCCCATTCCCCATATTCCCAGTTTGGGAATCTAGACTTTTCCTTCACCCCTGCTCTGTCACTGGAACTCTCGGACTGTATAGTTTGTATTTAAAAAGCTCTTCTGTGATTCCACGCACCTCCACGCAAGTTGAAATTTCCGATTAGAAAATTATGAAGAAGGAATTTCGAGTAAAAAGAAATTGAAAATGCCATTGTCCGTGTATGAAGACCGTAAAAATCTTCTATTTATATTGTGCTACTCAGTAAAGTCATACATAATGTAACTAAATTCATTGTTGTCTAACCCAAAATATCTTGCATAGTATGTTGCATGTAGTACAATTACTTTTGAATTTGTAAATGAATAATTGCTTCAAATTGAAAGCCTGTAAAGGTTTTGCATGGCCATTAGCGTTTCAGTTGGCATGAGATAATGTCTGTGTTACCTCTTTTTCCAATATATTAGTAATACTTCATTAACAGATTAACAAAGAACTATATTGGGAGTCATATGTAATGTTTATTAATGAAATTATTCCTCGCGTGAAAAAGATAAATTGTACATGTTCTTGGCTGTAGAAATATTTGTCGTGGCACAGTCAGTGAATGTCTATATTTATTTATGTGTGTACTACAGTTTGGTTTGGATGTGCGTGAATGTGAATGTTCTGTGTGTTTTAGTCAAAATTTTTTTGGAACCGGCAAAAAAATAATCTTGTAAAGACATTTTGTAAAAATTGAATTGTAAATACAGTCTTATGTTACATGTTATTTTTCCATGGTAGAAACTGTACAAACGGCTAAGTAATAAAATAATCCATAACTAGTTCCTTTGCTGCTTATGTTTGGTGTGTGCAGTAAATAGACAGGCCTCTCCTCCCAGGGCTCCACTCTTTGGCAGAGACTCCTGCTTATTTTGGCTGTAAAAGGCTCATCAGGGCTCAGACTGTGTACAACATAGTCACTGATGGTTCCAGGAGCCTACATGCTCTCACTGAGTCCAAATAAACCGCTTAGAGAGTTCAGCTGCTGCGAATTTCCCCCAGCGTCAGAGTCCACAGCCCTCAACATATAGCAGGGCCTGTCAGGGCTCAGCTCTGTCCTCACTGCAGCTTTTCGCCATCAAAACTGGGAAACAGAGGTTACTTACAACGAATTACTAGAACAGTATACATTGGCATAGAAAATGGTGTATTCTTTGGAACTATGCTGTTAAAAACACATTTCTACACTGATTCTTTCAATTGCACTTGAACTTGTCTATCTCCGTGGAGATTTTATGGAAATAGGATTTTATGGAAATAAAAAATTGACTGTAATTCAATAAATGCAAATAGTTGAGTTTAACACCCTGCTGTGAAACACTCACACAGGCAAAGCAATAACATCTCCATGGAGACAAGCAGGCGCTGATTGATCCCCGACCTTCAAAGTTTCAATACTATTTATATCGTCTTCGTAGAAAAACTTATTCTCTGTGTTTGGCCCACACTTCAGTGGCATTGGGGAAATGAAGAAGAAACCCACCTGGAGACAAAGAAGATTCAAAGTCCACACAGACAGCGGTTAGTCAAAATACTTAACACAAAACCATCAATCAGATTAAGAATTTTATTAATTTTGCCACTTTGCCTGTGCACACATGTCTTTAGAGAGATTACACAGAGACAATGCCAAGCTTCTTTCAATGTCTGTCGAACTGTCAACTTTGTGCACATGCCAAGAAATACAGCATATTAAACAGCATCTGAAGCCAAAAAATAAAGACACTGCTGGCTGAAGTGTACCCACTTTAATTATGAAAAGCAAGAAAAAGTGACTCAGAAACACCCCAGTCTGAACATGGATTAAATCTTTCATTTTCTTGGAAAAAAAATGCCTTAAAGGTCCTGACTTATGCAAAATTAACTCTTCTCAGCTTTAAGCCCTGTTATAAAGTTGTTACCTCCTCATAAACATACTCAGTTTTGTTTCATTCACACATGTTTGAGTAACCCCAGTTTATTAGTCTGTTTGCTAAAAATGCTGTACCACCTTGTGATGTCACGAAGCAGTGGTTTTCACGTTAGCAGCTACATTTTACTGTTCAACAGAAACTAGAAATTACAAGGCTGAAATCATCCAAATAATTCTAGTGAAGGTGTATGGAGTTTAGAACACTTCCTATATTACCAAATGACATCACAAGGTGGAACAGAATGTTTTCTGTTTAGGAGAAGAACTATGAATATAAATATACAACACAACAAAACACAACTTCAGGTATGAGGAAACTAAAGGAAAAATATAATATAGTTCAGAAAATAACATAAAATGGGCCCTTTAATGTGTACATTTAGTAAATAATACGGCCAGTATAATTAAACAACAGTTTTTGTTATGCATATGGTCAAATTAACCAAATCAATCAAACCACAGTAAATTAATGAGTGAAAGAAATATCCCATTGCATATTAGAAGACCTGCCTGCTGTTTCAATATGATTTCTGTTTATAGAAAAGCTATGGTCACAATATAGATTTCCTCCTGCTTGGCCCTCATTTACCTTTGCATAAGTGTTAAATAACTATAATCTCCTATTTTCACACAGTGTTCATTCAGGGGGTGCAGGCCTCTCCCCTCTTGGGCTGTTTGTTTATGTACAGTTCTATTATGTCACACAGATTAGTTCCTCCCAGTCCTCGCGCACTAATCCTTCTCTCTCTTTTGTAGCTGCAGAGCCAGTGTTGAGCCAAGACTGCCTTTTTTCTGCAGCGCCTTTCACAGTGTCACAGTCTCCCCACCGCACATACCCAATACCACGGCCCTCAAGTGTGAAAACCTCAAAACAAAAGGGCCTCCTTCCAAAGTCCTTTTGAGGCACGCTGCAAGACGTCCAAGTCTCCACGGACATGAAAGAAAAGAGAAAACGCTACAACTAAATAATAGGGCGCTCCATGGTACAAAAGCTTTGTCTGAGATGGTTAAGGGCCAAACAGAGCTTATTCGTTTTGCATGGAATGATATTGTTATTTTCTAAGCGATGTGGGGGATAGTTCTTTGGAAGTTAAACATGGGCTATTTCAAACATATAAAGAGCGCAATTCTTTTCAGAGGCAGGAGAGGTAAAAGAATATGTAAAATTCTTATTCTTCTCGGACACAGCAAAACAAGAACATGTTTTCTTCTGAACCTTTTGCTTTTGTGCTGTGAACTGTGTTGTCAAAAAAAAAGTTTACAAAAAATTGTTCCAAATAAATTGCCCTGGAACAAAGTCTGAGTGGAGTTTTCGAGTAAAGTTTCATCTACAAAAGTTGTCGTAGAAATATATAAATAAAAAAGAACATAGATGGGGCCACAGGAAGGGCCAGACTCTACTTTGTGAGGAGGCTGAGGTCCTTTGACATCTGCAGGACGACGCTCATGATGTTCTGTGAGTCTGTGGTGGTCATCGTGGATTCTGTGGTCTGCTGGGATAGAAAATCTGCAGGTGATAAAAACACTAATAGACTTCAAATTGTGAAGAAGGCAGCTGTGTTGTGGGGAGGGGAAGATGGACTCTCAGGAGGAGGACAGAACAGGAGGATATTGTCCAAAATCAGGACTTTTCTGGGCTTTCTCTCCCACCTCCTTCAGAATGTGCTGGTCAGCTACAAGAGCTCATTCAACAAGCTGCTCAACTGGGAGACAAAGGACATGATCGTGATATGATGTCACTGTAATGGTACGCAAACTGCACAAATGAATTATTTGGTGTAACATCCCCAACACAATATGCATGACTTGGAGTATTTTTAAATAATCTCAAGTACAAGAAAATGGGAAGGGATGGGGGGTAGGTGAAAACAGAGATTTTGTGTGCACTTAAGCTTCAAATGTGGATAATACAGCATTGTTTCACAAGGACTGGGTCGCGACCAACAGGTGGTTCACAAAAGATTTTTTTTGGGTCCCCTTATCACGATCTGCATGCAGGTAGAAACGTTAAGACATGTTTTATAATTTCTAATCTTTTTGTATTATTTTATTTATTTATTTTGATCCATTATTGCTGGTTCAATTACTGTTTTTTTTTTATTGTTTAAAACAGAGACACGATCACTCAGTCAGCAATAAAATATCCTCATTAATGTTCAATAATGGTCAAATCCACCTTTATTTTGTGATTTACGAATAATGTCGGGAAGGTTTGTGACTTTTAAAATATGATTCCCCAGAAAAAAAAGTTTGGGAAACACCGCAATACAGGATTACTTAGTTATGCATGAACCAATTGAAATACTCTGAGTAATCTGATTATGAGAACCATTATACCATGGTTAAAAGCTCAAAAAGTGATTTTACAGTGTATGTCCCCTTTTTAAGCATCCATCTCTGGCCCTCTCTCTCTAGATTCATCGAGTTTTGCATGCCAATCTATCAGCTCACTTTTATGGGTCATCTTACCTCAGTTGACCGTTGCATTGCTCCTCGGGGCATCGGATGGAATTCCGCTTTTGATGATCTCTTTGACTTTGAAGTATGACGTACTCCGACTGAAATGAATCTACTTTTTCTGTCTGACTTTCTGACTATCACACGTACAATTTAAAATCTCCAATCTCTGGGTTACAGGTCACTGAGATCATTGTCCTTTTTGTGTCAATTACAACCATACAGACCAAAGTTTTGCTACCATTTCTGACTGTATGAGATAGAGTATATTGCCTGTGAAAAATAACACTGTAACCAACTTTATGTTTCATTAGGAAGCCAGTGCTTGCCTTAAAGGTGCGGTGCGTGCTGGTGGGAGGGGTATGACCTGGCTTTGGGCAGTGGGCTGGTTCTGCTTAGGCTCTGGTGAGGGGGGCACATGAAAGGGTCGCTCCATCAGCTTGAGAAAAGATGTTCGGGGTAAGACTTAATGCAGACCAGAGCACACAGAGGGACCTATGCCACACATTAAACAAGCACTGCTGTTGACAAGCTTAGGGAGCTCCTTTGCTCGTGGGGAGTAAGTGGACCGGAGTGACAGACGACCAAATGTGCACCTCGAGAAAACTGAGTGAAATTATAATTATATAGTTGTGCTTTCATTTGAGGCGAAATACAAAAGATAATATTATTGTTACGCAAATTCATGCAAGCTACTTTTCGTTAAAGGTGCATCGCGCAACTTTTCTGGTGAAGTGTCCATCATCTGTCTCAACTAGAGACAACTAGGCTACATTACAGGTCAGATCTGTGAAGAGGCAACCCTAGTCACAGAGAGTATTAATGTATTTTTGAGCAATAGAAACACCTGTGATGGATAAATGCTGGATAAATGAGTTTAAGGTCATACCATGGAACATTCCAGGCAAAGCAATAATATCTCCATGGAGACAAGTAGGTGACGAACCTTCCACCAGAAAAACTACGCAATGCACTTTTACAGAGGGGGTATTTTACCATAGCGTATTAAGTAGGGATGTAACAATAACCGAAATATTGTGGTATCTTATTGTCAAAAGTTTCACAATAATATCATGGACTGTCACAATATATCGAATCACAAGTTCCTTTGCTTAAATGCATGGTTTTATAGTAGCAACGGCTTAATAAACATGTGGAACTACATATCCCATGATTCATTTCAGTGCAGACAACATGAAGATATATGTTTTTTACTTGAATTCTTGGGATTATGATGGAAATAATTCACACCAAAATCTTGTCAAGGTATTTTAAAACCAAAAACATGTCCCATCTACAATTATATTAGCCTCTTCAAAAGATCGCAATAAATATCGTACCGTGAGACTCATATCGTGATAATATCGTACAGAGAGATTTGGATATCTTCACGTCCCT